ATTTATTTGATATGTTATTTGACAATGAATGAGAAATTGTTCCTAAATATAAATTTAAAGAGGGTTTCAGGAACCTACTTGGTGATGAGATTTCCAGGTAATTGTAATGTTCAAAGGAGAAGGAGAGAGCTGGGTAAAAATACAGATAAAATATTTCACTAAAGAGAAAAATTAGATCACCTTTTGCAGTTCTCTATATTGTTAGAATCAACTCTGGAATACCATTTGGGATTTGAAATTAGGAGATGGAGAGATGGAGGACCATGGTTTGATTTGTAGAATTGTCTGTAACTCTAGTTACAGGTGACTATGATACCCTTTTCTGACCTCCATGGGCATTGCACAACACAGGTGAACTTACACACATGGAAGAAATACCCTAATACACATAAATTAAAAATAATAAATAATGATTTAGTTGTGTATGAAAAACACAAACATTCAATAAAAATTTAAAAATTAATAAATAAAAAAGAATTGAAAATCATGCAAATAAAGAGCTAAAACCACTTAGCATCATGGGTTTTAAATTTTAGTCAAGAAAACTTCATGAACAAATGAAAAAATCCATTAGATTCACTAGGTGAGGACTGATAGGACCATGAAGATGAAGGAAAGATGAGGAGACAATTTACTGGGTGAGTGGAAAGGGACAGCTTTATAAAGTTGATGAAGGAAGGACCTTCTGAAAGGATGATACTTAAGCAAAGACCTAAATTCAAGTGAGGCCACTCCACACAGTCCACACAGGAGGTGCAAAGGCCCTGCTTGGAGTTGTGATGAAACACACAACAAAAATCAGTGAAAGACATAAAGAAAAAGACTACAGAATTCACAGGAAGAAATAAACCTCAAGTAAAGCACTAAGATGTGAACGTTTTTTATTATAATACAAATTATGTAAACTAATCATGAGTGAACATTCCTGGGGGTAAGTTTTGTATTATGGAGAGCTCTTTGATGATAAAAATTAAAAGTATAAATATTGGGATGGTGGGCACAGGGCAGCAGTGAGAAGGTACAGGGAGAAGAGAGTGTGAAGGGCAGTGAATGGGACCAACGTGCATTGTACACATCTGTGAAAAGGTCATAATAAACCCAGTATTTTGTACAAATATGAAGACTTTTATAAGTGAATGGGCATCAGGAAAAAAAAAGAACTTACAGGAAAAAATGTACAGTATTATATTAATGAGTTTTCAAAATCATGTGAAATTTGGTAGTCATAGGAAAATACATTAAATAATGTGGGTTTTAAAATTTTGTCTGGTACTCTTGTTTCATTCTTTGAAATTTCTAACGTGAATATGTGGAAATTTGTATAAAATAGACCAGTAGAGAAAGAAATGCTAATGAATTAATGATGAAATATTTCTGAATTTCTAGAAACAAAGTCCCAATTGACAGCAATTAATTTCATTTGAAAGCATACCACTTGAATTTTCAAATTAGAGCTGTAAAAATTCTCACAGAAATAAGTGACCAAACAATATTAGACATAAATTAATTTTTAAATACCTCGTATAATTACTAAATAATTTTTTGGTCTTTTTGAGACTAGGTCTCCCTGTAGCCCCGGCTGGCCTGGAACTCAAGGCCTGGAACTCACTATGTAGACCAGGCTATCCTTGAACTCACAGAAATCCGCCTGCCTCTGCCTCCTGAGTGCTGGGATTAAAGGCGTGTGCCACCATGTCCAGCTTATTACTAAATAATTTTTATCAAAGATTAGTCACATTCCATTTATGTTTAAGAAATTTCTCACACATCAGTATGTGCTCCTTTGAGCATATATAAAATTATGCTAATGAGTTCAATAATACCCTTGTTTTACATGTATTTTTGAATGTATGTTTGGTTGAATACAAGAAATGCATGTAGCATGCTGAAAATCATCAAACATACTTAATAAGTTTTTTGATTTGTAAGAACCAAGAAGATTTATTGTTCTTGGTTATACAAATTAAACAAACTTGTGAAGAAGTAAATTTATCACTTTAGAAAGTTAATTTTTATAGGCTCTTAAATGGGATTCAGAGCATGAAGCAATGAAAGACTTGAAGCTAGGAAATTTTTCATCTCACAATTTGAAAATTAAAATCTTAAAGATGATTTCGCTCCTAAAACAATCTTTTTGAATGCACTTTTAACCTCCTTGTTCCTCAGGCTGTAGACCAGAGGATTCAGCATGGGGATGACCATGGTGTAGAACACAGATGCAATTTTGTCAGTGTCCATGGAGTGACTGGAGCTGGGTTGTAGGTACATGAAGATGATGGTCCCGTAGAAGATGGTGACGGCAGTGAGGTGAGAGGCACAGGTGGACAAAGCTTTCTGGTACCCTGTGCCCGAGCGCATCTTTAAGATGGTGATGAATATAAATAGGTAGGACACTGAGATTACTACAAGGGAAACAAAGACATTGAACGTGGCTACGTAAACAAGAACCAGCTCATTAACATGTCTATCAGAGCAAGACAGAGCCATGACTGCTGGAATGTCACAGAAAAAGTGATGGACCACATTGGATGCACACAGAGAGAGACTGAATATTTCACCAATGTGGATAGCGGCATTCAGGAAACCACAGACATGACAGCTCATGGCCAGGCATGCACACATAGTTGGAGTCATGGTAGTGGTATAATGCAAGGGTTGGCACACTGCTGTGTAGCGATCATAGGCCATTGCAGCCAAGAGGAAATTTTCCATTGTGGCAAAGGTTACACAAAAGAACATCTGAGTAGCACAGGCATTATAGGAAATGAACGTTTCTCCTATAAGTAGTCCAGCCATAACTGTGGGAGTGACAGCTGAGGAGTAGCCAAGGTCCACAAGAGACAGGTTACTGAGGAAAAAGTACATGGGAGTGTGGAGCCGAGAGTCCCAGATGATCAGCACGATCATCCCCAGGTTTCCAACCATGTTGATGAAGTAGATGAGGGTGATTAAGATAAAGAGAGGAACCTGCAATTCTGGGGCATCAGTTAGTCCTAAGAGGATGAACTCTGTCACTTCTGTCCTATTTTCCATCAATGTTATTTGGGAGTCAGGAGATTCTCTGTAATGAAGAGAAATAATGTTAATAAATGTTGCAGGATAGACATTGTCCTAAAATTGAAATGTTTATGTGTAATTTGTGTGATTTTTATTATGGCAGTAATATATATTCATGTTCCTGTACATGAACAGCTTAACTACAAAGTTTAGGTCATTGATTTTTTTAGTTTAATTAATAGTAAGTGTTGAATTGAAAATTCTCCCCAGTTTTCAAATTTTGTGTAATATTAAGTAACATTTTATTAATGTTACGAATCATCTAACATGACATGCAATTATATATAATTACATATAAATATATATAATTATCACCCAATTCTTTTCTTGTTCTAATATGTTGTAGTATGAATTTGATTGATATTTTTTATTAGTATTAGTGTACATTTTAAATTCATATTTTATGCACATAGAAATGTTAATAGTGGGGTCTGGAGAGATTGTTTAGCAGTTAAGACCAACTTGCTGCTTTTGCAGAGGATGTGGGTTTGGTTCCCAGCACCCACATTGTGACTAACAACTGTCTGTGATTCTAGTTCCTTGGGAATCTGATGCCCTCTTCTGACTGCAATGCACAACACAGGTGCACTTACACACAGACAGGCAATACACTCATACACCGAAAATGAAAGTAATAAATAAAATATATTAATAAAGAAATATTAATAGAAAAACTAATCTCTAGATCCATGTAGACTGGTTACCAAATAAAATGCTCATGAATTAAACTGTTTTAGCTCAATTTAGTTACTCTTTGTATTGATTGGTTTAAATTTGGGTTTGAGTTTCATAGTGAAATAATTTTGAGATACTTAGTGGAGTCTCAGGCAACTGGATCAGGAGAAGTATGCACACACAGCAGAGACAGTTCTGAGAGGAGACATGGCATATGAAATGGACATGAGCTCTGCAAGGACCTGCAGATCAGACTCACCACTTACTGTCTCTGAGTCATTCTTTCAAACATAATTCCATTGAATTTCTTTTTCATTTTGCTTATTTATTTACATTTTTTATTTGTGACTATATTATTTTGTGTGCATATGTGATCTCTCTCTCTCTCTCTCTCTCTCTCTCTCTCTCTCTCTCCTCTGTGCATGAGCAAGCATGCATGTGTCATGGTACACTTGGGTGAGACAGAGGAAAACCTTTGGGAATTGATGAACATCATCTTTTCAATTGAGATGCTTCTTTGAGAATGAAATGTGAAAATCCACAAAGATCAATGTTTAAATTCTGGGTCAGGGGACTGCAGAGATGCTCAGTTGGAAAAGTGCTTGCTGAGAAAGCATGAGTACCTGAGTTCAGATCGCCAGCACCCATAAAGCTAGATGTGGTGGCACATGTTTATAACCTTAGCAATTGTGGAGTGGGGCTGGAGGGGAAAGAAGGGAGATGCCTGGAGCTTACTGGCTTACTGTCCAGCCAGTCTAGCCAATCACGGAGTACCAGATTCAGTGAGAGACTCTCTCAGAAAATAAGGTGAGGGGTGATTGAGGAGGAAACCTGATGTTGACTTTTGGCCTCAAGACATATGTATATGGTTCAACAAATGATGGAGTCTGTGTTTGCTTAGGAAAAATGGGGTACAGTCTGACAGCATTCATGTGAGGGTGAGTTTTGCAGCCTTGTAGCCTCCATCTTCAGTTTGTTTTTTCTCACAATGCAGGG